GTTCCACTTGCAGTGGCCTGGAAAAACTGTCAAGGCAGCCTCCCTAAGATAAGTCTTGTGGACTGGCAAAGAATGATATCTAAAGAGCTGCAAGTTCTGGTAATGTAAGACTTGACCCTAATCCACACATTCCTGGCTCTGCTCTGTACCTTCATTTGCCATACTACTACCTTTGGCTGAAGAAGCGTGGTGGGAGTGGGGCGAAGTGTCTTGCAGATAACAGGATACTCTAGCAATGAGGCGATAGTCAGGGATGAGGACAAGGCAGCAAGCTGACTGTATTTCTCCTTTCTTCTTATTTCTTTCCCCTTGCTGCGTAACCTTATGTTGTGTGGATGTGCTCAGACATGTAGTTATGCTGGCAGGGGACAGAGTTGGACCAGAGCGTGCAGTGAGACCAGCAGTGCTATAATCATCCAGGGCTGGGGCCATGGAGAAAGTTAGACACAGTACCAACAGCTACGTGAGGAAATGTGTCTGGGGAGCCACTCAGAAACTGAATTTTGTCTACACTGTTGCTAGGCATTGAGCCAAGCACTTCTCATCACTGGCAGCATAACTTCCATGCTGTTTATAGTAAGGTAAGGAAGAAACAGTTTGACCATAAAACTGGTATATAGATTATTGACTGTGTCTGTGAGGAGAACATTTTTGTTGGTGGGGGACACAAAATACAGACGTATTTCTGTCTGCGCATGTATGGGAAATACAGGAGTCAATCATGCATAATCTTTTTAGAGTGAAATTATACTTCACTAGGTGTCTTTGCAATATCAATTTTTCTGCTTATGGGGAAAGAGGAAGACAAAGTCAGGAATCCTTTTCAAAGATTCTATGATTTCTCAGTCAACTAAGAAAAATTCAGCAAGGATTTAATTCTCATCTTGTATAAGGTAATTTTTTTTTTCAGTTTGTTCTTGGAAGAGCTTCCCAGCCTTTCAAATTTGCTTACCCAAAGAAAACGTGCTATATTTCAACTGAACATAGCCTTCCCTTCTCCTTACAGCCTTGCTACTGACTGGGCATAACCCTGAAGGGATTAACATAGAATGGTTTGGGTTGGAAGGGACCTTAAAGACCATCCAGTTCCAACCCCCCTGCCATGGGCAGGGACACCTTCCACTAGACCAGGTTGCTCAAAGCCTCATCCAGCCTCGCCCTGAACACTTCCAAGGATGGGGCATCCACAGCTTCTCTGGGCAACATGTTCCTGTGCCTCACCACCCTTTCCATGAAGAATTTCTTCCTTACATCCAATCTAAATCTACCCTCTTTCAATTTAAACCCGTTACCCCTTGCCGTATCACTACCTGCCCTCATAAAATGTCCCTTTGCAGCTTCCTTGTATGTCCCTTCAGGTACTGGAAGGTGCTATAAGGTCTCCCTAGAGCCTTCTCTTCTCTAGGCTGAACAAGCCCAAATCTCTCAGCCTGTCCCCATAGCAGAGGTGCTCCAGCCCTCTGAGAGTCTTCCTGGCCTCCTCTGGACTCGCTCCAACAAGTCCATGTCCTTATGTTAAGGGCCCAGGGCTGGACACAGTACTCCAGGTGGGGTCTTATGAGAGCACAGTAGAGGGGGAGAATCCCTTCCCTTGATCTTCTGGCCACGCTTCTCTGGATATAGCCCAGGTTATAGTTGGTTTTCTGGGCTGCAAGTGCACATTTCTGGCTCCTGTTGAGCTTCTCATCAACCAACATTCCCAAGTCCTTCTCCTTAGGGCTGTTCTCAATCCCTTGTCTGCCCAGCCTGTACTTGTGCTTGGGATTGCCCCCAACCCACGTGCAGGACCTTGCACTTGCCCTTGTTGAACTTCATAGACCCAATTCTCAATCCTGTCAAGGTCCCTCTGGATGGTATCCCTTCCCTCTAGCATGTTGACCACACCACACAGCTTGGTGTCACCAGCAAGCTTGCTCAGGGCGCACTCAATCCCATTGTCCATGTCACTGACAAAGGTGTTGAACAGCACTGGTCTCAACACCAACCCCTGATGAATGCCGCTCATCACTGGTCTCTGCTTGGATATCAAGCTGTTGATTGCAACTCTCTGAGTGCAACCATCCAGCCAATTCTTTATCCACTGAGTGTTTCATCTGTCAAATCCATGCCTCTACAATTTAGAGACAAGGATTTAGTTCAGGACAGTGTGTAATGCTTTGCACAAAGCCAGGTAGATGATACCTGTTGCTCTTTCTTTATCCACCAACATGGTCTCTGCTTGGATATCAAGCTGTTGATTGCAACTCTCTGAGTGCAACCATCCAGCCAATTCTTTATCCACTGAGTGTTTCATCTGTCAAATCCATGCCTCTACAATTTAGAGACAAGGATTTAGTTCAGGACAGTGTGTAATGCTTTGCACAAAGCCAGGTAGATGATACCTGTTGCTCTTTCTTTATCCACCAACACTGTAACCCTGTTGTAGAAGGCCACCAAATTTGTCAGTCATGATTTGCCCCTAGTGAAGCCATGTTGGCTGTCAGCAATCACCTTCTTACTTTCCATGTGCCTTAGCATAGTTTCCAGGAGGATCTGCTCCATGATCTTGACAGTCACAGAGATGAGACTGACTGGCCAGTTGTTCCCTGGGTCTTCCTTTATTCTCTTTTTAAAAATGAGGGTTATGTTTCCCATTTTCCAGTCAGTGGGAACTTCACTGGACTATGCTCTGTCTATATACAATTACAGTGATTCAGAGTAGAAAAAACCCTGCAAAATAGGGAACATTTACAGACAGGTGTAAAAAAATGCATTTCTATCTCCATGGGACCTAGATTCCTATCACTTTGGTATATCTACTTTCTCTGAGAAAAAAATAATTATCCATTAATCTGATTGAAGTAAATGTAGCTATTTGTGCACACTGTACTCTTACCAAAAATATATGCTCTATATTGCATATGTTCACATACTGTTATTAAATATTTGAAAAAACTTCTAAAACTCTCTTCAGCAATTACAGAATCAACAGCACCTGATAAGCCTTACATACCTTTTTGAGAGACTTAAAGAACCTTATGTATTTCATGCATTAATGTATCGAATCAGTAAGAACAACTGGGGTAATGTAAGATCTCATAAGAGACCTGTCTTAGGCAACTTTCCAACCTCATGAAAGATCTCCTGTAGCTCAACTAAAATTATTTTACATAATCATTATGGACTTCAGTTTGCCTGAGATGTTTCACAGAACCAAACATTAATATCAGAGTGAAAGGTCATCCAGTTTTACTCCAGACTAGTCAGGTTTGAATTGAACCTCTGTTGTTAATTTTAAATATCCAGCTAAGTTTAGAGTCTGTTCTGCAACTGCTCGGGGAGCCTCTGCATGTCACTTGCAGAGATTTTGTATTATACCATGTTGGTCAGACTGTAGGTTTGGATTTCTGTGAAAGTTTTCTGCCATACTATCATCAATCCCAAATGATGCCTTGGACAGATATCTGTAATTTCATTATGCTTGGAATTAAATCCCTCCTTGGAGAAGTTCATTGCTTGAGATTCACAGTGGACAGGAAAAACAATGAAAAGTAATTAATGTGTTCAATGAGTGAAATTCTGCTGGACAGGATTCTTCTTAGAATTGTACCCTGAATATACCCATTTTCTGCCTTTTTTGCTATGTCTTTTGATCCTATTATGAAAAGCAAAAGTTTGGTAAACATTCAGAACAAATGTTTAAAATATTTCCATTGTGAGAGAAACTGTCTCAAAAATAGAACATTGATAGAAAATACATTGTGAAGTATTTAGTTTCTTTTGCAGAAAATGAACATCAATTTCATTTTTAAATTCATCATCTTTTATTAATTTTTTTCAGTTATAGTTCATAAAATATACATCCTCTCTAGAAATCATGCAAATCTTATATGTCTGTCTGCTGTCAGTCACATTTTTATTAAAGAAGGATATAAACTTAAAATTTTATATAGTAAAAAATATTCTTTTAATAATTCATTTGAAATGGTGACCTTTTCAAGTTGGATTATTATATGTTGGCATGAAGGTTTTCTTGTGTCTTATAATATTTTACGGTTGAAGAAATCATGCAGATAATCTAATTACTTTGACTAAAATTGTTGTGCCGTTTATGTCTTTTGCTGTACTACAGGAGAGAAACTGTGAAATGTATTCATCATCGATTCATTAAAGGGTTTTGCTATTATATAAGCAGAGATGCAGACCACTACCTATCTTGTATTAAAAGGGGAAAGGGGAAGACATAGTAAAACATGCCATAGGCTATGGTTTATGTATTGCATTTCTTAATGTCTTGTGAAACGTAAAAATCTACAACAAATAGATATGTAAAGCGTAACTGGTATGAAGATTCTATTCAGATTTAAGTGCTCTAGGTTGGTTTTGAATCTTGCTATTTTCTGCATTTGTTTTGACTGCTCTCATCATTCAAGATTGACGCTTGGATGGGTGTGTAGGAGGAAGCAGCAGCAGCAGGCTTACAGCTTGCAGACAAAAAAAAAATCTGCCTTATCTGATGGCTATTATTGAAAATGCGAGGTGTAGCCTAGGCTGGGTAATGAAGGGGAGAGAGCGAGGGGGAGCAAGAAGCATGGAGCTGCATACTGATGAGTGTAGGAGTACTTGATAAAAAGAATTCTTGCTGCTGGCAGTGCATTGCTCATTGTGGAGTATTCCAACAATCACATATAACGGAGAACAGCTTAGCTGACAGCTTGATATGCTGCTTTTTTTTTTTTTTTTTTCTTACTGTATGACGTACTGGTCTGTAGTAAAGATTAATAACTAAGAAATGTAGAGCTAGGATCAGATCTTATGCTATATACTGCCCTGTAAACTATGTTTTACTTCTGACTTTTCTGCTTGCTGGAAACATTAATCTGTCAAGCTGGCGGGCTCCTTTGATACCAACTTTCCCAGGAACACGATGTGGCAATGCCACCTCTCAGCCCAGGACTACCGCTATTATCCAGTGGATGGTTATTCGTTGCTTAAACGCCTCCCTCTTCACCCTCCTACAGGACCCCGATGCCCTGTCCAGACAGTGGGACAATGGTTGGAAAATATTGGGCTACCTCAGTATGAAAACCACTTGCTGGCTAATGGATTTGACAATGTGCAATTTATGGTAAGAAATCTTCTGTGCATAGCTGTATATATATACACTGTAGCTGCCTTTTTTGTCTGTCTCTTATGTGCTCATAAAAACCTTAGAGCTATTCTGCATTGCACTAAGAAGATCTGTTTAGTGTTTCACTTTTCTGTGTCTAGCTAGATTAATATATAAACTGTCCTTGTATAAACTTCCAAATGGTACACATTAGAAAATATTCTAGCTAGAAATAAGGTTAAAGAAAAACTGAATATTAAGGTTTTCTCTCCCCCTCATCAATACTGAGATGAAAAAAGAAAAATGCACAGTTCTTTTAATCCATTGCAGGATTTTCACAGTATGTAAAAGATGTAAACACCTCTATCTGCAATACATCATGGTATTACTTTTATTCAAACATTAACATCATTGTAATAATAATTGAATAACATGCCTGCCATTCTTACATTGAGAAGTATTTTAATACCAGAAAATTATTTAATGAAGTGTGCTCTCTCTGCAAGTGATTCTGAATGCCTCAGTTAAATGTGTTTGCACCTTAGATAATCAGGCTATGGGAATCACTTGTTGAAACTTATGCCCTGTGTGGAAAACTAATGCATTCCTTTCAGTAGTTCCATTTTCATGTTTTAACTCTAGGCATATATCAGGAACATACGAATGAAACAAAAATTTATATAGTTCAGAATTTACAGTATTAGCATGTGTTATAGAGTAACATAGAACTATCATGCACAAACTTTCAATTGGAATTAATATTGACAGTAAAGAGAGAAGCTTATGTCTAAGTTTGGTATATAATCACTTTTTAACCTGCTTCAGTATTCCCAATAATTGAACCTCTTGCAAAAATCCTGACCACATTTCTTATAAAGTATCAGACCTTAAAATATTATCAATCACCCCTTTTTAAAGATATTTTAGTATCCATATAGATCTTGGAACATTTCTAACTTTTCATAACTTATACCTGGCATATAAGAAACAAAAGTGAGACAGCACGAATATTATGACTATGAAATCAGCACGAGTTAAGTTTTTCCTATTTAATTTCTTTTGCCAACATCATTATATGCCTGTGCGTTACTGATCAGAAAATTAAGGCACAGATCTCTGCCATTTCCATATTATGAGAGTGTAGAGGTTTCTTACTGGTTTTACATGGCTGCCATGTGATCTTTTGCTTATATCAGTAAAAAATATTAGAATCTTTACCTTTAAATATTCTTGAAAACAAAGCTGCAAGGGTGTGCTGTCAGCCCAGCAATGTTAAAAAAAAAATACAACATGCATTTCATGCTAGAGTTACCCAAAATGTAACCAAATATTCTTGTATACATTGTAGCATTAGTTACATAAGTAGATGATCATTTAACCTTAAAGAGATTACAGAGACAATTTATTCACCGGAGGCTGTAGGTGGCATAACAAATGCAGGGGGGTACACCTACCACAGGTAAATTATGAGCCCCGGAGAAGCCAGAGAAACTGCCCTGGAGGGCTTTCCAGTTGTCCCCTGGCTCTGGAGGGGTCTGACCCACGTTCTGAGGGAATCTGAGAGACTTTCATTTCCACATCTCTTATTAGTATACTTAGGTAAACATACAAATTATATATGAGATTTATTATTCAATAGGCAAATCAAACTTTTCAGGTATGAGGAAGATTAAGTTATGCCTGAATACTTGTGTGTTAACTAATGTTTTTCAATTTAAGACTTTTCTGAATTGGTTTTCTTTTAAATATATATCACAGTTAAAATACAGAATTGCTCTTAATATTAGTTGGGGTAGCATGCATATGTGAATGGAAAATTAGACTCCTAAATTCAAGGATAAGCAAAAAACTGCAAACCACCCTAGTAATAAAAAAATGTATAATTTCAGTAATTTAATAATTCCCAATTTATTGATTTCACACTGTTCATTGTGCTGTTACAATATTTCCGTTTTTGTTTGTACCAGTAATTTAATAGTTCTCGTCTCTTACTGGAAATAAAAATGACCACAAACCACCAATTACTTTACATATTATTCTTTCCAGTATATAAACATTATGTAAGGAAAGCCTCTTCTGAAAATTTAAATGAGTGATTTAAAAAATATTTTCCTTTCTAGCCAAAATGTTACAGAGAAAATGAAACTTTAAAAGTATATAGGAAAATGAGAGAAGAAGGAACTGCTATGCTAAGAGAAAAATTCAGACTATTCCAAACTTAAATGTGTTGTAGTATGAGAGAACTGCTTTACCTTTATTGAAGTGGTTTACATGTTAAGCTATATTTTACAAGTTTATTAAATTGTTTCAGATAGGTTAGCTACTTTATATTGAACAACACTAATACTTAAATACAGTAACAATGAGTTAGACATATTTTTTCTTTATTCTGTACCATATTCCTGCATTTGTTTTTCTGGAAGCACATTCTGACCTGCATTTATTCATTCTGTTGCCTAAGCAACAACCATCACACTCTTATTAAGTATGATTTAGTAGTACAGGTCTTACTAGATGTTCAGAACAGGAGAGGGAATATCACAATGATATAATTAATGTCCATGGAATAATGTACATCTGAGAACCAATATTTCCTACTTATATTACTCTGAACAGCAAAATTCAATTAATTAAATTAGCATTCTAACAAAAAGGTGGGGTTTAGATAAACAGATTTCATGCTTAATCATTCATTAGATTATAGAAATGACCTCCCTGTGTTTAGTTCCCCTTGGGCACTGGGAAAGTTTATTCACTAGGCTATGCTTAGAATTAGGAAGATTTGTTTATGTTACGTGAAGTGTGTGGACTTTATAATAAGAAACATCCTATTTCCTATTAACTTTACACTATGAATATTTTTTCTATAGTTCATCAATATATATGTATTTAAAATAGCTTTAAACATAGTATTAAAACATTAGTTGTGTTTTCATGAACTTACAACATATTTGCACACATAACAAAGGCAATTTTTGCCTACTATTACTGTTGTGCAGGAATGACACTTACATAATATTTAGTTAGGCCCAAGGTAGATCCAGTCCTAAGACTTCGTTTATGTGTGCTTGTAGTAGTAGGATCATACTTGAATACGTATATATATACATATGCAGTCACTATTGACTTTGATAATTTGTTGTGTAATAGGCTGCAGTGTCCTTCAGATGTGAAAATATGTAGTGACTTTGTGCAGAGATCTATCTGTATTTGAAGATGCAGATGATAGTGCAGTTTCATAATATAAAAGCTACTTTGCAGCTAAACTAATTCTAAGTGTAAGAAAACAAATAGATCAGTCGTAAATTGCAGTATATAAACTAGATATAAACAATAAGGAAACCTAATGAATCCGTGAACACTTTCTGATGCATAGGTCCCATGCTTAGGCTTTTCCTGGGAGAAACTATAATCTTTATGCATATTTGCAGGCCTACATAACTTAGCATGCTGAGAAAAAAAGTTTAACTGCACAGAAACACATGAAAATATACAAATGTGTGAGGTCACTAGATCCTTGCATGCAGCTTTCTACAACTCTGGAGCTTCATCAAAGCCTCCATTCTGGATTCACAGAGATAAAAGCAGTTCAATGAAATCACTACCCAGTGGGGACTAGTTCTGATTAAAGACTGCATATGACTATCTATTTATGGGTTGTTCTAATTGTTTAAGATATTCTGAAATTTTATCTGTTGCTTAACATTGCAATTTAATGAAGATCTCTCTTAAAATTTATAAAACACTGATGAAAGAAACAGGGACCAGGCCACAAAAATAAATTAACCAAAAAATATTAAGTATTTTATTATATTTTTTGTCATTCCAGAATATTGTTCACTAGTAACAGTTAATAACCTGAATTGGCATTACACACTAGACCTTCATTGCTGCTGTGGACTTACAGACATTCACCTCTGTTCATTCAAGTACTTAAAAGGCTTGCTTAATTATTTTTTAAAATTCTCTCTTTTTTGCTGTTGGGAAATTGAGGTATAGAGTGATTGCAGGGTGGGACTTAAAACACTGATATATTTGACATAAAAAGCACTAGTTCTTAAAATAGCTACTAAGATAACATTTAACAGATCAATTCATCAATTCAGTTGTTTAAACGTAGGTATCTAGTACCAACTGAGATGCTGCAGGGAATCCAAGAGATCCAGATAGGGCTGACAGACTGAGGACCAGAGAAAGACAGACCCTTCATGATTAGCAGCTGGAGTCCAGGTGGAATACCACTGAGCATCTCTGATGGCTCTAGAATCCTAATGCTTATGCAGCTGAAATGGATCTTCAGTGTTGTAGGTCATACAGAGCTTGTCATATGTCTAGGAACTGAATATAGACATCTTGAGTTTCCATCTAGTATCTTAGTTGCATATGCATTTCTTTTCCTTTGAATAATTTTCTGTAGTCATCCTGTGAGCTTACCTGCACAAGTATTTATCTGGTTTCAGTGCTAGGCATGGACTACTTTCTCAGTTCCCCTTAGTTGTCTGTTTTGGATTTAGTTTTAATTGTTGACTTTTCTTTCTCCCTTCCCCTCTTTCTTTTTGGTTCTTTTGTTTTGTTTTTTACTAGGTCTAGAGTTTTATTAGTCAGATTAAGTTTATCTGGAGGCTATCGTCTCTCAGATGTCATTCCTGGGATTTGCTGTCCTGGAATACCCAGTAATTCTTCTTGCCTTTAATCTCTGGAGGATCTTAAACTCTGTATCGAATATAAAAGACAGAAGAAATTTTATTTCTTTAGAGTGAAAAGCATGTGAAAGAAATTCTGTATGTGCATTGGCTCTAAGTCCTGCACTTGTAGAGACCACCACAGCTTTTATCCAAAAATACATGGTGCAGAGATTGATCATTTGGGCATTAGATGAAAGCTTGTAAGAGTGAGTCAGTCTGCCAACATCTTTCTTAATTTAGCCATGCTGCAGATGACGAAAAAGAGGCCAATGTTTGACAAGGGTTCTAGTCTGTAGTGACTTCAGTGACTTTCAGAAGCCAGCTCCTAACGTG